TGAGTGGGGTTCGATTCGGCCTGATGCCCACCTGGTACCTCTATACTCTGGATAGAACCAATCGCTGCAATCACTTTGCCAAGGTCATCTATAGCCAGGGAGTGCAAGATCTTTTGGAAAAGGGTCTAGAGTATGTGGATCTTTACCCAGGATTTGTCATGCCTATTAAGTCGAATTTTTCCGTTACAGGGAAGCCTTGGCTTTGCGTTACAAAAGTGCTCGAGCTGCCAGCTCCAGGAATGTGGAGGCTCCTTTGCCGCGTGACTGGGTTGCTGACCCCGAGTGTCGCCATCACCACAAGTGCCATTGCGAGCGATTTGTGTATCCGACATATGATGTATTTAAGGACTACCTAGCCAGGATCATACGGTCTGCACCAAATTACTGGCGCACTCTTCGGCCTGCCCAGGAGGTCTACCGGAAGGTCCTCAAGTGCTGCGCACCCCCCTACCAGACACAGCGGCGATCCTAAGCAAATCGTTGACATCAGTTGTCTATTTCTCTACATCGAACAAAAAAGCTCCCAAATTTATTGTTTTACCTATTCCGGCGTGCTTAACTGCAAATCATTTTAAAGTGTCTAATAAATGTTGGATTAAGTTGGGAATCGTTGCAGCTCAACTGCAAAAGCTGTTAGGACCGCAAACACACACCATGGATGTTTCAATAAAATTTAAGTGGAATCAGCTGTTGACAGCTGTCGTTTGTATTGAGTTCATAAATCGAATGCGTTGTAACTGCTAGTTAGCCAATTTATCAATTATGGAATATGCCTATGCCTAAATCTGTCTATAGATAAACCTATATCATGTCATGCTGATAATTCTCTCAAGTTTATATAGTTGAAGCAACTCATTCTACATTTTCTTTCCCATTTAGCATCCATTTCTTAAAGCAGAGACGTAAGTATTGAATTGGAATTTTGAAACATTTATTAAACACTTAAATGATTTGCGGTTAAGCGTGCCAGGACAGATGAAACAATAAATTTTGGACCGATTACAATTAGCGAGAGAGATGAGACAACTAATCTCAGTAGTGTGATTAATTTCGTTGAGTCTGGCAGGGGGGTGCACAACATTTGAGTACCATCCGGTAAACCTCCTGGGCTGGGCGAAGAGTGCGCCAGTAATTCGGAGCACATCTTATGATTCTAGCCAGGTAGTCCTTGAACACGTCGTATGTCGGGTAAACAAATCGCTCACAATGGCACTTGTGATGATGACGACACTCGGGGTCAGCAACCCAGTCACGCGGCAATGGAGTCTCCATGTTGCTGTTGGAGTTGGGAGCTCGAGCCTTTTTATAACGCAAAGCCAAGGCTTCCCTGTAATGGAAAAATTCGACTTAATAGGTATGACTATCCCCAGTTAAAGATTCACATACTCGAGACCCTTCTCCAAAAGGGCTTGCACTCCCTGGCTATAGATGACCTTGGCAAAGTGATTGCAGCGATTGGTCCTATCCAGAGTATAGAGGTACCAGGTGGGCATCAGGCCGAATCGAACCCCACTCAAGACCCGCTCAGCGCAGTTCTTACGCTCATACCAGTTGTGCTCCAACCAGAGGATGACCGAGAGGAATATCTGCGAAGAGATCAGAGAGAATGAATAAAGCTAACATAAATCGGGAGAAGATATGCATTACTCATACCTCAATCTCGGAGTTGACACTCAGGTAGCAGTTGTTGAGCACGTGGATTAGCTCGTGCTCGCTAAAGTCGAGAAAGGATGCAGAGCTGACAATGCAAAGGTAGACACGCGAGATGCGAGTTAACATCAGTTCACGGAGAATTTTTGCCTGGGGATGGCGGCGAGCTTCCAAGTAAACTTTGTAAGCAGTGTCCTCGTTGAAGAACTCCATTTTCTCCAGGGAGGCCCAGAGCTGGCGCAGTAGTTCGGGAATCTGCAGTACCTCGTCGGCCACCATGCGAGCCAGAGCCTGTTCGTTCTCGTTCTGGTCCTGATCGTGGCCCTGGGTCGAATGTGACGAGAGTCCCAGCATAGGGAGTTTCTCGATAAATCGCTTGGCCGCATAGAGCTTTGCGTAATTCTGCAGAACCGACTTGAAGGAGCGATAGCGCTCGTTGCCTGTGATGATGCCCGCTTCAGCTAGAGTCTGGGTGCGTAGCAAGAGCATTAGGTTCTCGGATACGCGCTCGATAACAGATGTGGCCTTCTCTGCTTGCTTCTTAGAGTTGAGGAGCTCTATTACAATCTGGTTTGCATCGCCGTCACCTTCTTCGCCCAGGCGCATCAAGAGCTTAGCGAATTCGCTGCGCTGGACCACAGCCACCAAGCTGTTGTTGATTTCGTTGCTTGGGGCATCGACCGAGGGATGGGTGAGAGAGGAGCTTGCCGTTGGCTCCTCGCT